TATCAATGGGCACTTTTGAATAAACAATTACCACCGTATTGATAAGGACGATTTCTATACTGAATGTATTTTATAAACCGATTGTACTGAAACAAAGCACGTTGATATAATGGTCTCAGTGAATTAGTTGTAAACTCACTGTATGAGTCGAAGTGTAGATGCAACAGATGGGTAGTATCGGGTGAAATTGGTTAGTTTTGTATGCAAGAGGGGGTAAACAGTACGAGTGATACAAATCGGTCTGTCGTTGGACTATTTTTTTTACTCGTGTCTTGAAACGATTTGAAATGGACGAAGTGTTGGTCCCATTTCGCTGCAAGTATTAAAAAAAAAATGTTTCTTCCCCCAATACATCATGTAACATTTTGGTTCCAAGTATGTCTTTTTTCAATATTTTATCTACGATCATTCATTAATTCATCAGTAGCAAACTGCATTAATCTTGAAGTTTGTAACCCTTCCAGCTGGCATTATGGGTCCGTGTTTTTCCCTTTGCCCAAGATTCATGCACTTTGATATTCCGCTTAAGAAATGTCATGGCATTTAGCAGACACAATCCCAGAATATTTCAGGGCATGTATAAACAAATGTGTTCTCATACCAGTTTCTCTAAAATGCTATTATTAAATGTGTTAATCTATACTTCAGTCTATGACATAAGCATGGATATATTCGTGTTATCGCCCTACAATCTCATGATTGTTATACAGTACCTTGGAACTATCTGAGTGCCCTCATTAGAAAGATCAATAAGAAGTCGGAATTCTCATTTCACAATTTTATACTCTTATTGATTTTTTTTTTATCAATCATAATTAAATGCTTAATTCTGGCTTATTATACTGAATGAATTTTGTGAATTTGTTTTTTACTTGAAATATATGATAGACCAAGAATTATTTGTTATTTTCTTATACTTTAATTTTTTAATGTTTTTTTCTTTGGAATCATAGAAATTTATTATGATTTTTAATACAGGTTATGTAGCTGCATGAACATGGTTGTATTATATATTCATTGTATAGCAGGGACAAGCATTAACAAAAAGATTAGATGAACTTTGAACTTTTATTGGTATTTGTGATATGTTATCACAACAGTATAAAATATACTTTATCTTGGCTGCAGCAGAAGTCAAAATATTTTCATTGGCACTAAAATTTCCTTGTGCAAAAACAACTTTGTGATATGAAAATAGAAAATATTTTAATTTCCATTGTATATTAAAAATATTTAATCAATGTTCAACATACATGCTGGCAACAAAGATAATACATATTGTTCCTTTTTTAATGCAAAGAGCATGAGAAAAAGCTCTAGTACACACAAGAAATGCTATTAATCATAAATATTATCTTTATCAAACATTTCTGGGAGAAATGTTTATTCTAGTCCAGCTATAAAGAGCATGAATTATTCTTTCTTATGAACAACCAACCTCTTATGGACACAGCCATCGAATGCAAACAGTATTAAAAGGCCAAAAATTGGACGGAATGAGTTGCTTTGAGGTACCACTGGAATGTTCTGGACAAAACCTCATCAAAGACACTTACTTTGCTAAAACACAAGACAGACAGGTAGCCAAAGAAAATATTGGCTCAAAGAAATACAACTAACATCTATATATATAAAAAAAAAAAGGTCCAATATCTCAGTGTATAGATCTGGTCTTGACTCCATACTCAATATGTAAGTCTAGCACAGAAATACATATCAAAATCAAACTTTTCTGAAAGTGTTGCTTTCAAGACCATGTAACAATACAAAATAATGAAAATGTTAAGTAAAATGTCTACAAAATATCGCCACCTCCTGGAATTGCCACTCAAGTTCACCTATGATTGACTGGAAAATTGCTTTGGTATGCAGTCCCTAGACATTTAGTACATATATGGAGGAGGAGGAGGAGGAGGAGGAGGGGGAAAAAAAAAAAAAAAAAAAAAAAAAAGATAATAATAATGATGCCACACCTTAGTGAGAATTTAACAGTGGTTTTAACTGAACTAAATTGAGCATAGAACTATGACAGAGTACTACCAAATTCTTTGCAATGCACAGTCTCAATTACCATAAAACCTAGACTTAGATTCATCCTGGTCACTTTTCAAAAGAGAACACTTTGCGTGTGTTGGCCGTGGCATCTCTTCCTGACCCTTCCAAGCTCTCTTTGCTGAAATGTACGACAGTTTTCCAAAGAACAAATCCTGTCTTCTAATATTATTCTGAGAAATACTTCTTAGATTGATGGACAGGAAATGTACCTTCCCTTCCTTCTGAGTCAAGTACTGGGGAAGGGGATATGCAGACAAGCTGCAGTGTGTTCCTTGGCAACATTTAAATAGGCTCTGAGAGGCTTCTTAATTCTTGGTTCCCCCTTCTAGTGTGAAAACTCCATGGCTTTGGCGATAGGACTCCTTTCGCTTCTGGATGCGGTACTCAACCCAGAAGAGAACAGCTGCAACAAATTCTGCTACAACACCCACCACAGCTGAAAGATAATATGGAAATTTGACACATTATAGTAACAGTTAATGTAAAAGAAAGGGGGGGGGGATAATAATAAATAATAAATAAATTATATCCAGTAATCCAAATACATATTTGCCAAAAATAATTCTGCTTTCATGTATGGGTAATTCCAAAGGTTGGAAACTATACTCACCGAGACCAAAGGACCAAGAAAGATGATTGTGGTCCCAATGGGGCATCCAGTCACGGTTGTCACCCATAGCTCCAAAGACTATCACAGCAATAAAGCCAAAGAACCCTGTAATGGTGAATAATGATTAGCAACTTATGTTGGGGTTATTCTTTTGTAAATGAATAACAATTACCTGGAACGTGAACTGAAAGTAGGACTAATAATATACAAATGAAGACCAATGTAAATAATTATTAAGAATATAACCCCTAAAACAGCAACAATAAATGGGAAACTTATGGAGAACAACAAAGAGTGAGAAGTCTCATATGACCCAAAGGAAGATTGGCATGGCTTTCTAAAGTGCAAAATTTTCACATCCATCTGGAGCTGGAGACGTACATGAGATGAAGAGGTCAATGTAGGCCAGCTTCAAGACGTATTTCTCAAAATCTTCACCAGGACAGAGGATGAGAACGCCCGTGAGACCAGCGCCAAGCAGTGACAACGTGAAGCAGAAGGTGTAGAAGACCTGGACTGTGACGAAGAATGCTGGAATGCAAAAATGATATATATTAGTGCATGGTATTACTTCAAAGAAAACTAATTTTCAAGATGACTTGATTTATTATTATTTTATTTGTTTATAAAATTACCTATCTGTAAGGGTATTCATAACAGAGCTAAATATTTTTTTACTTTAGCAAAAAAAAAAAAAAAGTATCTATGACATTGAATGAGAATGATAAATTTGAGTTCCCTTTCTATAAAAGTGTATGGGATTTTGATAAAATGTTAAGCCCTTCTCTTAGTGGATGGCACAATGTGACAAAGCACTTCTAATAATTTTTATATTTGTAGTGGTCTTATTCATTTGTTTATAAAGTTATTTGTTTTATTTTAACATTATTTCTTACTGTGATTGCTTTCTTTCCACTATATTTTGTCACACGTTTCACAATCCAAGGATTTTGTTAATGTTTATAAATTTTGATACAATTTCAGATTTATGAAACAAAGTCAGTTTAAAATCAATACCAATCCCAGACATTTTAGATATAGATGAATAACCATGTTGAAATCCTATCTTCATGTAATTATTCCTCAAATTCGATGATTTCTCGAGTTTCACTTAGTGCCACTGGAGTATCTTTGTCACTTTATTCGTGACTGCCTCTAATTCAACAATCCAAAAGTCCTGTTTCCCGTTTCGCATTTCATGAAACATATGAGACATATAAGACAAGGTTAAAATGCATAGAAATACAGCGGGGGGAGGTAAGAGCTGCCAAAAGATGAAAGGCTGAACTCATCTGAGGAAGGTACTGACAGAAAGACTCACGTGACTGCAAGTCTCCCTGGACCTCCTCGTACCCCGTAGTGAAGGGGTCGAAGATCCAGCGACACCCTACAAAGAAGCGCTCTTTATGCACGTCCTCCCGCGTGGTGTACGATCTGAAGCACTGCGTCCACAGGCCCACGCTCTCCACGGCCGTGCCATAGGCCTTGTTCTCGGCCTGGAGCCAATAGGTTGTGAACATGCTGATGCAAATAAGGACGAAGGCCAGGACGTGGAAGCCGATGGCCCACCACCCCGCCGTGGTGCGACGGTCTCTTGGGGGCACCACCATCTTTGTTGTGATAAATCAGCTGGGCAAGCAGAGGAGAGGTGCCCTTCGTCCACCCGCGCCACACCCTACTCGCTCAGGGAGAGTTCCCGCTAGAGTCTCGGAAAGCAATCGGTCACGGTCGTTCTCCACATCGACCAATAATTCCGACTCTAACTACTGTTCTTTCACAGCAATACTTGAGGTGCCTCTACACAACGTTCCTCGATTTCTTCAACCGCATTTCTCCTTCACACAATCACCTCCACCGTTCTTATTACTTTACGGGATCTCTCCACTTTCGAGTATTACTTCACTTTTCCGTCACCGCCACCACCGCCTAGGAAATGGCCCTTCCACTCAGAAGTCCTCACAAGTCCTCAGAAGCACAAAGTTTCGGAAAACAACCAGGAGTCGCCCCTCCTTGCGGACTGCATGTTGTGTTGGGAGTATCGCGTACCTGTCTAGCCTCGCTCGGGCCCCTCACCTGTGACTCACCTGGGAAGGGAGGGTGTGGCGGTTCCTGGCGGGCTGGAAACTTTTTAAAATAGCCGTCTTGTCGCGGAGAATTTGTTTCTCTATTTTGGATATCGAATATTTTTTGCGATGGGGAACAAATGAGTGTCACCACAAAAATGTCAAGAACCTGGTATTCATTTAAGTAATATTTTGCACAAGGGATGCATTTACATGGCTGACTTTCGATTCAATGCATGGATTTCTACAAAGCCACTAAAGCGTACACAATTCCAATACAGGCTCCATAAGAGCGTTATAAGAATCAACATAATCGAAATTCGATAAGTCCTGACGCGAAGTAAGGGGACGGAGATGTGGCAGCCACGCGGCGGCGGGACGGGCGTTGGCCGCCAACCGCGAGGATTTGAACGCGTCGCCACCGCCGCCGCCGCCGTCATAATACCTGGTCGAGGAGGGTACCTGTGCAGCCCGGCATGACGCTTGCACTATGGCTATCGTCTACTGTTTCTTCTTTTGCATACGCTTTACCTCTGTTCTTAACTTAAACTGTTGTTAACTTAAACTTTCGACAGTTATCTTTTAAGACTGCTGTACGCGACAAACGCGGAGGTAAACGGGTTTATGAGAAAGAATTTTTCCGTAAGATATTGATCGCGAAGAAAAGCCAACTGTAGTGCACTTTCGCCTGGAAACTCAATGCGGTGGCCAGCATCGCTCCATCGCTCTTCATATTTCATTGTGCAAAGCTGTCTCAAGTGGAATTGATCCTTAACGGAATTTCCTTCGGACGTCACTGAAACTCATTAATGCTCCCCGCAAGGAGGTGGCGCCGAATAAGGCCTGGAGTTTCCCCTGTACGTCGTAACACCGCCGCCTGTCCTGAATAAGCCGTCTGGGAAATTGATAAATGACGACGGTGACAATCATATAAATTTTAATTTTAAATGTTCCTAATATCATGGTTCAGGGCAATTTTTCAGTCTAAGAGTCGCGTCATTTTCATCTGCTGACTCCTAGCAACCGCTGTATCTGTCATTATATCCACAGTTTATAACACCCGCACTGTCATTTCCTTTAGTAGTCTCGGTTTCCGTGTCCGAAATTTCATGAGTGATGTTCTAGCGTGCAATTACTGATATTAATATCCGGTCAGTTTTACCCTATGGATGCTGGCAATACTTCCTTGGCAGGAATCGCCTTTCATTCTCGGGCTTACCACGACGGTTTAACAGGCAGCTTTAGAGGGAGGCATGATGCAAGATTGAACACGGGGCAAATGAACACTTACCCGTGTTGGTAAACTCCTACTAACAGTAGCCATGAAACGCGCTTAACACGCGACCTAATCAAACTTCTAAACATCTAAAGATATGGATAATGACACCTGTTGTTCAGTATATTTAGCGAACGCGCGCGCGCACACACACACACATATACACACAAAATTAACAAGCGACCTGATCAAACTTCTAAACAATTAGAAATGTATAGATAATGACACCTGTTGCTCAGTACATTTAGCGCGCCCGGACACAAAAAAGCTTATCAATTGTTTCCTCCAGTACCAGCCACGACCCTACACTTAAAGCTACACTCGTCTATATCTCAGGTCAACCCTACACATTTACCCGCATGCACCCCACAGGCCCCACACGCATTCTCATCTACAAATGCTAAGGCGGGTAAACATATATACAGTATGAGCACACAAATGCACGCAAGGACCCTCCCCCACACATATTCGCCAGCAATATGTGTGCGGTATGAAATCTACCCCTAATTGGGTGATATTCGTGCAGCCATTTTCTCTTTAAAAAGTTCATGAAAACTAAAGAAGAGGGAAAATCATTACACTGACTTCAATGTAATGATTTTCACCGTTAGATGAAAAGTTGGAGAACTAGCGCTATTCATTGCAGCCTAGAATTTCACGCGGCATGGGGGGGGGGGGGGGTACGCATCTATTCTCGAGAGCAACTACAAGAGTCCGACACGGTAGGCGATCTCAAAGGGAGGGGGGAAGACGTGGAGACGAGGTAGACACAGAGGAAGGGGGAGGGATGAAGGGAGATGAGACAGAGGGGAAGGGGATACCATTTTCGACCCTGTGCAGTATTCATGCATTGCGAATTCTCTGCCTCAATTCAGGCCCTGGGGATCTGACTTTGCCTTGTTTGTCGAGTTCCAGGATTTCGTATACTTACGATGCATTCTCTCTCTCCCTCCATCTCTGTCTGTGTCTCCCTCCCTCCCCCTCTGTCTGTCTCTCTCTCTCTCTCTCTCTCTCTCTCTCTCTCTCCCTCTCCCCCACCCCTCTCTCTTTCTCTTTCTCTCCCACCCCCCACCCCTCTCTTTCTCTTTCTCTCCCTCCCCCCACCTCTCTCTCTCTCTCTCTCTCTCTCTCTCTCTCTCTCTCTCTCTCTCTCTCTCTCTCTCTCTCTCTCCCCCTCCCCCCACCTCTCTCTCCCCCTCCCCCCACCTCTCTCTCTCTCTCTCTCTCTCTCTCTCTCTCTCTCTCTCCCCCTCCCCCCACCTCTCTCTCTCTCTCTCCCCCTCCCCCCACCTCTCTCTCTCTCTCTCCCCCTCCCCCCACCTCTCTCTCTCTCTCTCTCCCCTCCCCCTCTCTCTCTCTCTCTCTCTCCCCCTCCCCCCACCTCTCTCTCTCCTCTCTCTCTCTCTCTCCCCCTCCCCCCACCTCTCCTCTCTCTCTCTCTCTCTCTCTCTCCCCCCTCCCCCCACCTCTCTCTCTCTCTCTCTCTCCTCTCTCCT